TTCCCTTCATTTGTTACTTATTATTTTTTCCTGGAATATTTTTCTCAATGTGCGAGCAGTCCATCTCCCGTGATACATGTGCATGCAAAACGAATTTCATGAAATTTAAAGCGCGGAAGGCAAGTTGACTGATGATCTTTATGACACTTACGTAGAGTAGCCAAAATGAATTTCAAGTCATATTCAAAATTAGTATGCTGTTACAATTTAACGACAAAGCTTTTAATGAAAATCTGCATCAACATTAAAAAAAAACAGTATGTATAGATTTACATGAGAATTTGAATTAAAATCGAACTATTTACAAGGAAACAATAAAAGAGCCGCAAWTCGGTGCGTAATTTCTGGCCATGATGATACTCTCACCAATTGCAATTGTGCCATTGTATGACTGTCTTCCATTAATTCCAATACCTAAAAAAGGCGGGAATGATTTTATAGATTAAGTAATGCCCTGAGTAAGAACTAAGGAAGCAAACGGCGCAGGAATGCAAGAAGGTGCTAATTGTGCATTGTATAATCCACTGGTTAAAACATGAAAATCAGCTATAATTTCACAAGTTAGCGAATTTTCTAATATTTTATTTAATGTCTGTTTTCGCTTTCATGAAAGCTTTCTTTATAGCTTCAATATTAAGGCAATTCTATGTGGGGAATATTGCAAATTAGAAGCATCTTTTRGCTATTGTTTTGAGTGCTTATGATTGGATAAGAGCTTTTAATACAAAAGAAACTTTGTTTCGAAATAGAGTTTATCCACATTTTATTTCAAAAATGTGTTACTCACAGATGGATTCATAATCAGTGTGGGGGGGGGGTACTCCCCTATATTCGCTATACGGGGACGTGCCGCCAGCTAGGGTATCGATTTTAGCGATTTTACTCTGGAACAGGGTATCGATTTCAACGAATTTTCTCTGGAACACTGGTCAGGATTGAATTCCGGAATTATTGATGCTGGATAAAAAGTCATGTGGTAAAAATTCGGTCTACACGCAAGCTAGTGCAAGATTTTACACAGAGTATCGTTTTCATCGATTTTACTCTGGAACAGGGTATAGTTATCAGCGATTTCACTCTGGAACAGGGTCAGGGTTTTGAGGTCCCAGCGGCACACCGCCACCCAAGTTTCGGGGGAGTACCCCCCCCCCCCCTCCCCCGGGCTTACTTTTGGTTTGGGTGATAAAACTAAATGACAATACTTACCAATAGATCGAAACCAAAAACGACGGAAAGGCAGCGAAAAATGGTGCAATGTTTACTTTTGAACTAGAACCTGCAAGGAATTCAATTTTGTATTACGGAAGGACCTATAGATACTCAGTAAGGCACACATTTGTTCTTATAATCAATGAACTGTTGAAGTAAACATAGAGTAAACTTCTGTAAACTTCACTAACATATTTTGTATCCACGGAGAAGGTGGGGGGGTACTCCCCTTTTCCGGAGCTCCAAGTCTTGGATAGGGTATCATTTGTTGCCCATTTGTCTGGGATAGGGTAGTTTACTTTTGAACTAGAACCTGCAAGGAATTCAATTTTGTATTACGGAAGGACCTATAGATACTCAGTAAGGCACACATTTGTTCTTATAATCAATGAACTGTTGAAGTAAACATAGAGTAAACTTCTGTAAACTTCACTAACATATTTTGTATCCACGGAGAAGGTGGGGGGGTACTCCCCTTTTCCGGAGCTCCAAGTCTTGGATAGGGTATCATTTGTTGCCCATTTGTCTGGGATAGGGTAGTCTTTTTGTCTGGGATAGGGTAGTAGTTTTGTCTGGGGTAGGGTAGTTTTGTCTAGGATAGGGTATAGTCTCATTGTCTGGGGTAGGGCGGAGTTTTGTCTGTGATCGTATCTTCTAGGCCACGCTAAAGTAATGTACCTTTGTACCTTTAATCTGGGGTAGGGTATGTAAAATTGGACTGGGATAGGGTAAGGCTTTTGAGGATCTTGCGGGACACCCCAACCCCACCAAAGTTGGGGATAGAGTACCCACCTAAAAAAAGATTACATGACCAAGCATGGGCTCAAGCATGGGTTCTGGAATAGCGGTCACTTGTCATACCTGAGCATTCTACTTTGTTGCAAACATGTTTACATCTAATCTTTCGCTCAATCTGTGCGTTTGTGCACTTGCCAACTTTAGAACTGCATTTTCGTGTCTGAGTAACCTCTCCCCCACAGCATTTAACACAACTGTCTTGAACAGTTTGCCACTCCGTGAAATTATARCCTATCAAAGACAATTTAACAGTGCTCAATATTAAAGGACAAATGCGGATTGATATACACAGCTACATCATCTAGTGACTAAACTGTTATTTTGCCGTTCTGCTATGTTCTTTGCCGGATGCTTGTTGGTTTTAATAGTGATGAAGTATCAATGAAGAAAAACATGGTTAGCAGAGTTTCACGTTTATTAAGACACTGTTTACATGAGATAGGGTTTCCCTACGTAGAAGGGTTAACTACTTTGTTTTCTTTTCCCTGGAAGATTTAAAACAAAGAATTCATTGGCCCTACCACTAGCCAGAAGCACCCTATCTCATGTCAACAGGATCTAAATTTTAAAAAGTGATATTCTATGAAAGAGCAATCGGTACTCCCAACGTTTATTTTCTTCTGTTGTTTTGGTTTGAAATATTTAAGGYCGTTYTGATATAAATTTGACGATCCAAATATGAATGATGCATTCCCGTCTAATTATTGTGCATTGAGCAAAAAATTCGTCAGGTAGTTTTCCTATTTACGAATATTTCATTTAGCTAACATTTCTTTTGTGGTGTATTGAATGATCTCTTACCATTTGTTTTCTCCTTTGTCTTTATTGATTTTACATCTATATTAAAATTTCCTAGTTTTCCATGCTCTGTTTCATAAAGAAAAATGGCTTCTGGGTCGTCAGCATTGGCTGGTGGTTTTCCAAACACTGCATCGAATGAAACTCTGACGTAGTCACCGTCTCTTGTCAARTATATGCTATCTTTGGCATGATCATATCCTGTTTTGGACGTCAGCTTGGAAAAGAGTTTCTTTACCTGGAAAATCATGAACACATTGGTACAATCCTATTCAACTGCGAGTTTGGAATGGAAGGGTTGGGGGGGGGATTATTAGTGTGGTTAATCCACCCTTGTTGAAACTATATGATTTAAATAGATATAACACATTATATCTGAATGGGACTCATTCTGAAAAACAAAAAAAGCCTCATTTTCCGCAGCCCAAATCTTTCTATTCTTTCATCCTGAGTAAGCAACTACACCACAATTTTCTGAATCCGCCTCTAAGCTGTCGCAGGATTCTGAATTGTTTCTTTCCGCAAAGTTTAAAAACACTACCTCGCTGCATATGTTGAATAGCCATGTGGTTCTCGGCCCTTCCTTATGCATTATGCATAAACAAACATTTATGGGACATCAGAAAGCGCTATCAAATATTTCCACACTGAAAACGAGTTTGAGAATCTAATATTCCAGATAAATACTATTGAATATGTGTCAGTGACTCTCGTATTGTATTCTTAAAACAAAACTTCCTATCATTACAAAACTTACTTCATTAAGAAAACTGTCGCTATCTATGGTTAAARTGTCATATAATTTTTTGTACGCATCAGAATTAGTGCTCTCGTAGTCCTTTTTCCACTTGTGGTCGGTCAAAGTGACATCAAAGGTAAACGTTCTCACTGCAAGAATAATTACAATAGATGCGTATACTTATGTGATACAATTTTAAGGGAATTAATTCTTTTTATTTTTATTAGATTTTGATTCATGTTTTTGTAAGAGTGAGGTTTTCATAAAGCACCAAAACTGTGCAAGTCAAACACAAACAGAGGAAGCAGTTTAAGCGAAACATTTTAAAAGAGACAGCTTTTGCGYAGTTCGTGCTAAAACATTTCCTACCTGTACCACATTTCAGAGGGCATATCCAATGACACGCAAATRTCCTTTTAGTAATAACGCCATCACAGTCTTTTGAAGGCGTGCATGTTCGATTTTGGTTCCACCGCTGACCACAGCATTGAGTGCAACTTCCTCCAGTCCAGCTTCCAAGTACAGCGCCACCTTATATGGGCAAATATATTTAGTTAAGAAAATTAAACTCTTACACGTGTTAAATATTCGAGGGAAAATAAGTATTTTCTGATTATACCCTTACATCATTTTCTGGTTAAATTGATCAAATGGAATTGTAGACGAGCGGAAAAATATGAGTTACTTTTTCCCTTGGTATTCATTTTTAATTCTTTCGCGCTCAATTGATCAATCRAAATTTTGAGCCGKGGTCTATTAYCAGCTCCCAMACACATSCATTTAACATGCATTTAACCAAATAATTCAAYATTCGGATTTACCTGTTACAATTTCATTCACAGCTATGCGATCAAAAGCAAAATTTCCAAGTGCTCCATCCTCATTTTGCGCATAAAAAAATGCTTCAGCATCTTGGGAGTTATTCGACGCCTCACTGAAGTTCAGTTTYAAATGAGGCATGACTTTGTTACCGTCGTTCGAAGCTGCRTTRTGGACTGATGCAGGCATTTGCGTGAAMGCAACCTCTTTTAGATCAGAAATCTTTGCACTTTTAAATAAAGATCTTATCTTTAAAAAGAAGATGAATCATGATAAGAATACGATATTGTTCCTAGGAACGCATTTAAAGATATAGCAAAGAGAATATAAATAAAAGGAAAGCAAATGTAAATAAAAATAAGAAAAAAGGAAAAGAAATGTTAATAAAAAAGTCTCGAAYTAGTCAGGTTAGGATTTATCAAAGAATCTTGATTCAATTAAATGGAAACGACAATATTGACACTCTTTTGAAGGGTTACTTAGTAAGATTAAGAGTTATTTATCATTTCGCTTGTCAATTTCCTGAATTCTGATTGGCTGCCGTGCGGTCTATCCAAAGGCGTATTAGACCGTTGCTATAGATATCAGTCCAACTCAAAACAACTTTAATTTATCAGATTCGTGTCTAAAAAAATCAAGCAATATCAATTTGTTTACAAGTTCTGAAAGAAAGATTTTTAAATTAAAATTAATTTAGTTTTTGACTTTCCCGAGTTGAACTCTTTCTTAGTGCAAATGGTATCAATAATCCATCTTAGAAATGTTCGAAAAGTATTTACAAAGATTTTTAAAAAGAGAGTTCAAAAAAGGATCATTTTGAAGAAAAAAAAATCAAAATCAATATGAAGATGTAAAAGCTCAAAAGAAGCCAGAACTTACGTCTTCAACAACTACTTAAAACAAAAGCCGAATAGAATCAACCTGCATAGTGTTGCACGAATGATATAAGTCTAATTTTCTTGATTCGGTTATGAGACAACATTTCTATATTGATATTTTCAAAGTTATTTCTAGTAAGTTCCAGTACGTTCCAGAATGTTCTRGTAGGCTAGTCATCTGGTAATCGTTAAATTCTACCTTAACCGCATTAGTTAAACAAATATCTCTTTTTGACATAATCATGATTAGACTTTAGATAAAATATCCGTTTCGTACAATACGTCTTTGCTCGCTGTTTATTAGTTCGCATAAGATTCTAAGACACCTTTTTCAAACAATTTAGGTTAATTTAATTATCTTATAGGTTTTCCACACTAGTTTGCTTTGATTATATGAACTCAAGCTGTGYTTAAATACTAGTTGCGACTTGTGACTAGGCTTAGGTTTCACCATGCTTGCTAGTTCTCTCCATAATATCGAAACTTTCATTAAGCTTTCCGATAAGAACCTAGAATGACAACATAATGAGTAAGGCATAGTGTTTATTTCTATAGTAAATATAATCTGGATTTCCCATCTAATTTTGTAAGATGTTTTCACGAAACTTACATCGTTGTATAATGTTACCGCTAAAATCAGCGAAAACCCCTCCTACGACAGAGTACACCTCGATCGACGCCGCTCTATCGCCCATCGCTAGTTTAAAGCCTTGTAACTTCATTATTTCAAACATTTATCCAATATAACTTTGTAGAAGGTTAGTCCTCTATTAGAGCTACCTTCAGTCTTAATTTCATATCTGAATTCAACTTGGAACTATCTCGGGCATAGCATTTTTGTATTCTTCCCAAGTTGAACATATCATTAGTAAACTCATCAAAAGTATGTCTTAGCCAATCATATTTCWATATAGCTTGCCAATTACTGTCATTTTGTATTTGTAAAAAACAAGCAATTAAGGTGTAAAGGAAAGTTCTTCTTGTGTCTTTGCCTATTAAAAAAGTTTGATCCAAGTACCGGCTCTACTCTGAGTTACAGTTTACAAAAGYACCTCTTGTAACAACTCAATCAAGAAAGAGAGAAAAACTGGAATTTTAGAGGAAAATGATAATATTTCAATATGTAGAAAGTGAAAACATAAGAGAATTTTGAATCAATGTGATCYGATGCTAAKCTYGAAAGCAGGTAAAACMTACGAYGTTTCAAGCACCTTTGCGTAAAAAATCCTGGTCTATCAAATTTAATTTTTCTCGATGCAATAAATCCTTGTTTCTGGGGAAAAGAATGGAAGACTGTAATTCTATATAGAGGGACATCCATGAATTTGAAAAAGTACAAATCAGCTAGATATAGAAGAATTAGTGAAAACTTGTAAGTAGTCCCTAATAAAAACTTTTAAGTTATTAAAATATAATTCAGGGGCGGATTTAGACTAGTTCAACTAGTTTCCGGAAACTAGTGAGATTTTTCACAAAATAGATGTAGTTGAAAGCGATACTTCAAATAAAATCATATAAACGAAAAGAATATGGAGTATTCACTGGAGTATTTTACCGGTAGATGGCAATACGATCTCTTTGGCCGCCATTTTGAAAGTTGTACCACAGGAAACCYACATTTACTACTTGGAATATAAACTTCTTTGTTCTTGTGGGAGGGGACCCATCGAAATGTTTGACACAAGACTGTCGATCACGAGCCCAGAGTCCCCCAATGGCTCTTAGACAGCGGACTATCGCTTGAGAGTGCACTAGTGCAAAATGACGTAGCACTGATTCACATAGGAATCCCGACTGGTTTCCAGATAAATTCTTGTTCACACAGGAAACCCGAAA